GAGCTACGAGGATTCGATTTGACACGCTCCTTTCCTGTGGCAGCAACGCGCTATCGCTAACGTGGTAGATGAATGCGCTGTTGTAACGTTGTCGTTATTAACGCTTCGATTATCGTTGCCGCATCTATTCCAGAAACGTTCAATGTTCGCGATGATGTTGTCGAATGTGTCATTGTGGTGTCTATTATCGCGAGCGAGCGAGCGAGATTTTAAGCGTCGTCTTCTCGTGGGCCCAGACGGGCCCTCGCGGATGGTCACACGACAATCGGACACTCGCACTGTCAGACGCAAACTACGAGCGATTACGAAGGAATAGCCGAGCGCAGTCGAGCCGTCGAGCAAAGACCGTCGACTCTAGCGCTATAACACTGACGACTGACGACGAATCGGTGAAACAACGTTGCTCACATCACTCGTGCTCGTGTCGCGATTGGTCGAGCGGACGCCCACAGACAGTTAACTATGCTTTACCATATTTACAGCTGACGCGTCATCTCGCTTTCCGTTCGATCCGCATTTTGAGCCAATTGGAGCTAGTCACGGCAATCGTGCTCCGTGTTCCGTGCTTCGTGGCCAGTCATGGCAGTTAAGCCTATCGCACAATGCTAGGCGATAGGCTTTACACTTGTTCCTTGTTACTTATCAGCAGTTGCGTCATTTGTCATTCGTTGCTTGTAACTTGTATGTCGTTTTACATTGCTTCCATCGTATTTTGTAGATTCAGCGCCTCTCTTTCGCATCTAATTAATGCTCTTTGAGCATCTATAACGCTGCCAATACGCGTCTCGCGCTTTTATCTTTCATAGTCTAAAAATATCAATTATTCACCATAATAAAAGATTCGAATTAATTTATTTTATTAGTATCGAGTATATCATATAATATATGTTTAGAGGCATTCACTCGTAAGATCAAATACAAGTTTTTTCTCTTACTCTTTACTTTTCTCCCTTTCAATTGATATCAACTATATATATCCCAGCAAACACAGAATATAACTGCTATATAACATGGGAATAACATGTAATGTAACGGTTGTTATACCTAATTTATATTGGGATTATATAACTATCTCTTATTTAAGCAATATAACACTGTTTAGAGGCATTCACTCGTAAGATCAAATACAAGTTTTTTCTCTTACTCTTTACTTTTCTCTCTTTCAATTGATATCAACTATATATATATTATTGTTAGCATCAGTCTGGAGAATTTTAACAATATATATTATGTGTCAACTTTGCACATAAAAATTTATTTAAATATATATAATTTTACAATTAAAAATTATTAATAACAAAGAGTACACAATTATTATTTGGAATGCCCGCGCACATAAAATTAATATTACAATTAGAATAAATTCACAAAATATAAGTAAAGAAAAATTTCTTTAAATAGAATGATTAAATATATGAATGAGACTCGAGACAAGTTCATTCATCTATACATGTATATGTATATACATCATGTTTCAAGCAATATCTCGTCGACGCGATGCGATACCGACCGTCGACGTTGACGGCGATGCGACAATAGATCGCAACATATTCTCGCCGCGCCGATATTTGTGTATGTATATACATAATATAATATTGTATATATTTTATATAATATTCAACTGAAACAGAATATCTTTGAACTCTGATAAGGAACGCAGTAAGTCGAACTTGATTGAAAAAATCAATAAAAAAATTATATAATTATTATACAAACTTATAAATTTTACTTTTTAGATTTAAAGATATTTCGCATTTTAGCTTACAATTAGTTTATACAATATAATATTATTTTATAATATTTGTTTATATATATTTGCGTGGATCCGCTATATATTTACTTAATTGGACATTGGCGACATCTAACAAGAAGGAAATTACAAAGGTAGTTACCGAACATTTCCATTTGCAGGTAAATATGTATTTATCATTGAGTAAAGAAGAACAGTAGCGGGATTCTCTAACGCCTTAGCGACGATTATCGTTGTCGTTAGCGAGCGGTAGCCTATGAGCCGGTTGCGCTTTTCACCAGGATTGTCCTTGCCATTGGCTGTCGCTAGTTAACGATACCGAAAACTGTCGATAGCAAGTTACTGAATCCCGCTACAGAAGTGAGTAGAGTCCTATATAATCAGAGAAGCGACATTGTTACCCCCTCCATGCTTCCCACGATCGCCATGTTGGGCCCGCAGCTGCCCATTTGTAATCCAAAATGTCTTAAAAATATCTCAGAGATATTTAAAATGTTTCTTTTAGAAAATAACATTACAAATATACTTTTTTCTCACTTACGGTACGCCGATTGCGGTTAGTTTGCACGTAGGATCCACTACGGGACCAACATAGGATGCGTTCTACTTAACGACTGCAACGCTCGCGAGCATCATCTATCTTTGTTTAACTTTCGGTGAACAACAAAGATGAAATGATATCGTGAGCGTTGCGGTCGTTAAGTGGAACGGGCCCATGGCGATCAGCCAATCAGCAAGCGAGACGCTATTGTCGCCTCTCTGATTATACAGGACTCTAGGGTCGGTATTCATAGTCAGTTCTTATATTTAAAGGGCCGTCTACAATGGCAGTAACAAGGCTGTAGGAGTAGGAGAGTATACTGTTTTTAGTGATGTAAAGACCGAAGTGAACATTTGGTGACCTACATGAATAAGCTAGCCGGTAGAAATAATTATTAAATATAATTATTTTTAACTTTTACTACGTTTGTAAATCGTTTGTGATTGATTGTGAGTCTGTTTTTTACGTTCGTGACAAATTAGGTTTTTGTAATTAACAATTTTAGTTTAGTCATGATGTCAGCCGATACTTTTTAGTAATATAGAGATTTTGTGATAACTAATAACTGTAATCAACAGGAAATCGTTTGTGATTTACAAATATACCAATGTTACGTTTGTGAATCGATATTTTTTTTTTTAGTTACGTGCAAAATAAGTTTATTTTATAATTGTAGTGCGCATGCGCAAAGCGCAAAAATTTCAGCCACGCATAAACGCGTCGACGCGCTCTCTGTAGACAGGAACCCTAAAAAATATTTATAAAAATATTTATAAAAATGTTGAGAATATATTTACAAAATATTACTATAAATATTTATTTTTTACTTACCATAAATATATCATACATATAAAATATTTAGTCGATCTATATTTTAATAATATATTGAATAAAGTTTTTATGATTTATTCTCTTAATGTATACAAAATATATATAAAATATTTATGTAATTCTTTAAAAAATAAATAGTAAAAAACATTTATGAATGTTTATTATACAGGGTGAGTTTTTTAACTTGAAATTGTAAAATATCTCGGAAAGTAAGCTTTATCTATATAAATATTGTATGCTGTCTGGATTTATTGCATATTTGCATTTCTATAATGCTTCAATACATACATTTTTTATCGAAGTATTTTAAATGTTAAGACGTAACGTTTTATATTGTAATATAGTATGTCTAAATATTATACATATAATGCATCATTTAATATGCGTATATCTATGCGTGCGCGCACACACATACAAAAAAAGTGAAGTATATTATTTTAATACATATGTATACAAGTGTATCACAATTATGAGATGTAATGTATAATTTTTACATGATATTATTTTTATCTTCCAGTTGAAATAATTATAAATTTTATATGTGTTAATCATATGTACACAGGGAAGAGGAATGTATACACTTAAGGACAGAAATGACTCAACACACGGATTTATGCACATATGCAGAAGCATTTTCTGTATTTCCCATATAGGGAAAAGTAGGGTAAAACCGGGTACTCTTTTGGATTTGTCTTCCTACAAAAAATCAAAGACTAAAAAATCTTTTGCTGACCGTTAGTAGTTTTTAGTGGATCTTAAACTATAAGAAAATGAGGCTAGTTGCTGAAAAAAATTTGTTTACCAAAGGATAATAAAACTTTTTGAAGAAGTCAAAATAACCGGTTTTGCCATATTGGTAGGGTAAAACCGGGTATCCATTTGAAAACATGTAAAACACCGTGCAGTTACAAAATATATTGTAGATTTATTTTAATCAAAATACAATACAAAGATGTATTCTACTGACAAAAATCACAAATAAAGATATCCTCTTGTTCTGCAGGACATAGCTGCAGGACTTTCTTATTTAATTTTTTAACTTTAGAGGTCTCAAAAACTTTTTTTTAAGTAATTTTTTTTCTGAGTGGTAGTTTTCGTTTCCAACTGCTTTTTGTAGAGAAACAAAGTCAGGATAACAGTTTTTCCTCTTTTTATTACATGAGATGTGTAGGTACCCGGTTTTGCCCCAACACGAAGAAAATAATAAACACGGCGGTTGTATATTTCGGCGTACAAAGTGACGATCAAAACTAATGCGATATACTCTCTAATATGTACAGAATGTAATGCTACAATCACCGAAGCAGATGCTCTGTGTAGAAAGTCCATAACGACTCGATTGTTGCCCCGATATCGATCTTTTTTTATCCGGAAATTTTGAACTTCTTTCAAAAAAGAAATATTGTGTGCACGTGGACACGCTTCATTTCAAGATAATGATGGCATCAATCTACAACTAATAACACCAATTAGCCAAAGATAGTATAGCACTTATCACGAAAAAACAGAGTTACCCGGTTCGACTCTACTTTCCCTTATATGTATGTACGTCTCCGACGTGAGCTTAAATTCACATGTTAAGGCATGCCTTCGTGTATACATATAATGATATTTTTTGTTGTGGTATTATTTACATGGCAATTATTATCATCCACATTATTCAGTATTATTTATACGTCATTTATCTGCCAATCATGAAAAAATATACAACATTTTGCACTATTAATTTACAATATGTGGATAACAAGTTTGCGTAATAAATGCAACGTTTTATTTATATTAATATAGACGTGAGGGAGGGAGGGGATGAGAGAGAGAGGGGGCCGGGACAGACAGACAGACAGACAGACAAACAGACAGACATTGTATTATGTGATG